CTGTTTTACAAGTTGTAGCTTCTGTATCACATGATCTGTCCATGGTGCATACATACATTTATAAAAAAGTACTTCAAAGGGGTTTTTTATATGTGCGTTCAAAGTGAATAATCAAAACTTTGTTTTATAACTTTCGGAATTTCTAGACTAAAGTTTCAAATTGTTTTCAAATAAACAAAGGCAAGGTATAACCTTGTATAACATTCACATATACGTGATAAACATGTACCGCATATCTTATGACACGACACTCGCAAACTTTGATAGATAATTATGTAGGACGGAAGTGACTACCATGTTAATAAAGACCACAAAAGAAACTTAATTAACTTTTAGATTGCCTCGTTTTTTAAGGTAATTCTTTATTACGACGCGGATAAATTTGCCCGAGATAAAGGTATATTATTTAGAACGTTGATAAAATAGCGCATTTAATGGATACTTCAGCACCAAAACAGCACCATCTTTGCTCTGAATATAGTATTGACATTTTTTTAATTCGAAACGGTGTGTGGTGCGTTCAACGCTTGCGTGCGCAAATTTGATGGATCCAACACAAGACACAAAGTACGCGCAAACCTTGATGGCCTTACTTGCGCCTTACTTGGGCGCAGTGAGGCGTCAGACGCCGTCTATACACTGTGATCCGGGCGCACTAATGCGTTCGTCGTCGCGCGTCGCCAGGCGTTGTAGTTGAAAGGCAGGACGCGACGCGACGCGACGCTTCGACTCTGCGCCAGAGTGAGTTCAGCCTTAAACTCGGAATGCGTATGAATTTGTATGCACGATACAATATGTCTGAAGGCTCGGAACGCGTATGAATCTGTGCACCAACACTAACAATTTAAAAGTCAATTAAGATGTAACCCAATCATTAGAACGAGTAACAGTTTGCATAAAAAAAGAGATGATAATGTGCTCTTTAATTTGACGTATAATACGAAATCTTGTTTGAGGTATATAGTGATTTAATTTTGAAAATTGTTCGTTGATCAATACGTCCTAACATTTCCTTCATTGGCCAAATCGACCAATTAAGAAAACCCACCAGTTTTTTCCAAGTCATTTAGCGCAGTTATCTTGTATGAAAAACGTAACTACATAAGTAGTATTTTTAGGTATATATTCAACATTTCAAAAAGTATTACATATTCTAAAAAGGTGCCTAATATTTTCGAAAATGAATTTATATGAACACCTATTATTTTCCCTTGTGTGTATTTCTGGCAAGAAATTGTGATATTAAAATGATTTTGAATTTTTCATCGAATAAAATAATACTACATTATCATAGAGTAGTTTTCTTTTTATTTGAAGTAAGATCGTTTAGTAGGTTTTGAATAATCGTAATTTTATATCTATCGCCGCCATTACGTTGCGTGAATCTTCGGGTATAAAGAATGACAGCTGTCATTTAAGTCTAAATGTCGTATTCCAGAACTCTACTCAATGCTCAAGTCAGGACTTGAATATGATTTCAAGCACTGGAAATACAACTCTAATGGCAAGGAGTTGAGTATGATTTCTAGTGCTTTAAATCATACTCAAGTCCTGACTTG